TCCAGCTGTGAACCAGGCCAGCAGAGGAGATCGCAGCTGGTTAACGCGCTCTGCAGCTTGTTGCAGCCACACTTTCTTCTTCTGTTTGCTTTATTTCAGCCCCAAATTCACATTGACGTGGTTTATTTTTGCAAGAAGGTCATTGCAGGACAGTTCTTGGAAAACTTCATCATAAATGATAAATGTTTCTGTTTCATTCCCTGAGCTGTAAATATCATTTTGGGCTTTCAGTGTGAAACTCTAGTTTTTACAGATTAAGTGAATAAGAGCTGAAGTTTGTAATGTTTGCACAAAGTTGGATAATTTGTGCAGTTTTTCAATTCCAGGAAGTAAATTAAAGATTTACAAGATAAAAAATACCCCAAATGCATTTATTATACTTTACAACTAACAGACTAGAAACGCTCTGCTTTTCACCAGATCGAGGCTTTCAGATATTTCAACAGTTTTGTTTCAGACTTTGTCAAAAGTAGCAGCTTAAAATAAACTCCTGAATAAAAACCGTAAAAGGCTAAAGTTTGACGTGTGACTTCAGGATTTATCTTTTCGTCTGGATTTCTCTAGAAGCTTTTCCGCCTGGGTCCTCATGCAGCTGCTGCGGTTTGCAGGATCAGGATCAAATCCAAGCAGCTGAATCGACTCAGATCTGTTCATCTCTACAAACTCCCACTTCAATGTTGAACCAGAATGGAAATTCTGAAAATTTACAGATTATTTGGTAGATTATGTCATAAAACCATTACTGTATAGATAAAACCAGAGATTATTCTGTTTATGATCATTTATTTCAGTAATCCAGCTTTAAACATGTTGATTCATTATTTCAAGTGTCTGTTCCTGTTAATCTTGACAGTTATGACAATACTACAATGGAAAAGCATCTTTAGCAACACAGCAGGTTAAACTACAAAAGGTGATGACTGAAAACCCAGCTGTTCACGGTGCATCATCTAAGCATATTGATGGAAGGTTAAGTGGAAGGAAAACCTGAAAACATATCGAGATAACTGCAGCCTTGAGAGAATTGTGAAATGAATCCAAAGTCATTGAGGACTAATAGTTCAAACACCAAACATACATTAATATGCCTTAATGCGCTAGTGTTAGCGCTAGCGCAGAAGCTAACATCTACAGCCAATCAGCACCAAGGAAAAGGCTTGAGCAGCCAGTAGCGTCTCAATTAGCTTTTCTCTGAGGTGTTTCAGGTCCAAAGCTGCAGATTCTTAGCGATATTTTAGATAATCTCAACAAAAACACAAGTATTCAGTAGATTGTAGGGAAAATTTCTCTATTTAATATCTTATGCAAACTTTTAATCTTTAGTGAATGTTGGGGTTTGTCATTAACTGATAAACAAATAACACTTTAAATGTGAAGGTTTAATTTCTTTTCAGGTGAATTTCCAAGTACATTCAGGTTGATATGAACGTAAATATGTTTTTCAGTTGATTCATGATGTCATGGAATAATTTTCCGTCATCATTTCGGCCTCCTGTTGGCTCCTCCTGCTAATCCGGCCCAATAAAGTCATAGATTAGTGTTGAGTCTGAAGGAGTGTCGGTGTATAAACTGCTGAGGATTGTTGGCGAGTTGCTGTTTGAAGGAGGCAGGAACAAAAGGTTTCCTGGTCAATAGAGAGCAGCTTCAGCTCGGCTGAACAAGCCTGCTGTTTGATGCGTCAGATGTGGGAATAACAGCCCTCAGCAGCTGCTTCAAAGACCATCCAGACACTTTCCTTACAGTGTGACGGAGCACACACTGAGTGTAGCTCAGCCCTCAGCCGTGGCCCCAATGCTGCAGGGAGACTGGAGTGATGGAAGCAATACTTAAGCCATTAAGGCAGACAATTGGCTCAAATTGAGAGGGAGAGATAGAAAAGTAGGGAAGAGGAGGGAAAAAGAGAGGGTGATGGAGAAGCTGTGGCAGCAGTGGATCCACTCAACGACTTAATCCGAGCCCCAGGACACTCTCCTGCTGAGCTTCACACATTTCCACAAACATGCAGTCGCACACTGAAGCTCCTCCAATAACACCTTGTCATTCCTGGCCACAGGGCGCCCATTCCTTCATCGTTAGGAAGCGCCGCCTCTCCAACCACCGCGGGAGAAGATGGAGCGTGCAATCTAGACAACATAGCTCTGTGAGCATTCGTACGCCTTCCGGCTTGCAGCATGAAGCTATTTATTGTGTTCGCAGGCAGAGTGAATGTTGTCCAGTGTCCTGGACGAGGACGGCTCCTCTGACACCGGCTATTGTGTGGCGGCCCCTCGGCCTCGCTCGGTCCCCGCAGGCCTCACAAACAGCCAACAAAGAGGGATTGTCTCCTCTGACGATCCTGAAGCATCAGCTGTGTGTCAGAGGGTGAAGGAATGATGTTCTGCGCTCCGAACTCGGCGACCGCCGGCGCTCTTAAGGTCCAGTCGTCTTTTGGGAACATCGGCTTCTGATCGGGACGCAGCGACAGTTTGCGGCCATTTCGTTCCTTCCCTTCCTCCTTCCTTCCTTCCTCCCTTCTCTCCTCTCCTCTCCCATCAGCCTCAACCCTGGGGCTCCCTCCGCGCCGGGCCTGTACGATTTATCGGACAGCTTAGTGGGTAGCGGTTATTGCCCTGAGGACTGTTAGCCCGGTTTGGCTCGTTGACTCCCTCCCCGGTCTTGGCGTTTTTATTTGACATGTCCTTTAGGTCGTTTAAGGAATGGGGCGTTTCTGCTGAGCGCCTCGGCTCTTTCTGCAAAAGATGGATGGCCCGCGTTCAAAGGTCTGCATGTGTTTTTCTTCCTTCCCGCCCAGTCTTTCTTTATATCTCTATTTACTTTTCCCTGCTTTCTTCCTTCACTCTGTTCCTCCTGCTAAGCTTTATAATGTGGCATTAGTGTTGTCAGCAGACCAAGCCTGGATTTGGCTTTGCTTTTCCCTCTTAAGATAATGCAATTCCTCTTTAATGCCCACAATAACAAAAGGGAAAGTAGAGCAATAAAGCAACATGGCTATTGACTTGGTTTCATCAAATTGGTTCATTGCCATTTTAAACAGACCACAGACTTTGATGGCTGTGTGTGTGTGTGTGTGTGTGTGTGTGTGTGTGTGTGTGTGTGTGTGTGTGTGTGTGTGTGTGTGTGTGTGTGTGTGTGTGTGTGTGTGTGTTTGCAGCCATTAGAGTCTCATGCTCTGCTGCCTGCTGCAGTCCATCAGGCCTCGGTTCTGAGTCTTTCTTCATCTTTACACATCTGAACGAAGGGACCGGCTCGCGTTAGCATTCCAGACGTTTGGTCCAAAGTGTGTTTTGTGAAGATAAGTGTTGTTAGTGTACTGGAGAAGGGTGAAAGCACTTCACCTGGATTTGTATGCATCCCTGATGTGGAAATGCAGTGATGAGGCATGGAAGGATCTGCTGTGCCCAAATCCCTCAGAGACCCAAACCCGCTGATCCAGCGTCTTTCTACCAACATGGTCGCCGTGAAGCCCTGAGGTCAGCCCTGAGGTCAGCCCTGAGGTCTGAGGTCAGCCCTGTTGTAGTCCAGTTGTGGATGGTCAGCGTCTCTGCTGCTGTGGCTCATCGATCAGCAGGTCGGCTGACTGTGAAAAACTAAAACAAACCAACTTCAGCGCTTCTGCAGCAGCTGCCGTGTGATTGGCTGATTTATGGTTGCTATTAAAAAGCAGCTGAATGTGTGTACCTATTAAAGTGGCCTGTGAGCGCATTCATAAAGCATCTCCACTTCTCTCTGCGGTTCGTATCTTTTGATGGAGAAACGGTGAAGGTTTGTGTTGCAGCTTGATGGCGGCTTGTGAAACGGAGGAATGAAACTCTGATGGCCGCGCTGCGCCGCACCGCGCCGCGCCGCAGACATCAGAAATCACGTTTCGCATCGGGGGAAGTGAGTTTGCTGATGTCAGGTCAGTGTGTGTAGAAATTGGCGGCTTCAGGGACGTGGGGTAGTAAAAGCGGAATTGAAAGCCGCCTCGCCCGGCAGCGTGGAGCCGCGAAGGAACCCGACAGTTTTATGAGTTTGTTTCTGTCCCTGTTAGGGTGTGAAGAGGCTTTTTCACTCCAAATGAAACTGTTGGATTTGTTCTCCACATTTGAGATATTTGGCATTTTCTAAGATTCCTGAGAACAAATGATCTCCAAGGTTGAGGATCTCCAAGATTTTCTCCGTTGTAACCGTGTGGCAGTTTGAAGCATTCGGGTCACTGCAGGGAGCCGGCAGGTAATCGATCTCATTGTTTCTGTTTGACGGACTGAAAGGAGCCGGTCGCTGGTCTCAGTCCGTCCGTCATTTTGGCTTTTTACCACTTAGAAACTTTTGTCAATTTGAGGAGCTGCTTTCTGACCACAAGGAAGCCAGATATTGTCCCTCCATTTTGTTTCTGAGGTTTTTGTTTAATTGCTTTCATGTGATCTGCAGTTTCTCTGAGAAAAAAACATTCTAATTTCCAGATCTATTTTCTCCTTCCAGATCATTTAAATCACTTGGTTCTTTTAGTAGTTTTCTATTTTGCTGAATTTTGAGCTCTTACTCATAATTTAGTTGTTTCTATATTGTGATAGAAACACAAAATTGTGATATAATTTCAGAATATATTTGTGATGCGACCTGAATGAAGTTTTAAGGATTCGGCATAAATTAGTTATGATACGAGAGTGAAGTGATAATATCGCCAGTTAAAGGAGAATAGAGTCATTTTATGAGAAGTTTAAATGTGAAAGTTTTACTTTACAAATGAGAAAATAGCTTCAAATCAACCACTGAGTCTGATCTTTCTGATCAGTTCACTTCAGATATTGATAACCATCAGAACTTTGCTTTTTTTGTCACCTTTTGTTTGGTAACAACTTTATTTTACTGATATTATGGCGCTGATGTTCCTCTGGGACTCTGACATTATCGTCTGTGTTGGGTTTTAACTCCCGGCGCTCGCAGCCGTCCGGAGGATCCTCATGTTGCAGCTGTTGCATTCTGGGACGTAACGCTGTGTGTCTTTGCTTGTCCGACAGCAACGGCACGGCCGGGAAGATGAACGGGGCGCTGGAGCATTCGGACCAGCCGGACCCGGACGCCATCAAGATGTTTGTGGGTCAGATCCCGCGCTCCTGGTCGGAGAAGGAGCTGAAGGAGCTGTTTGAGCCGTACGGCGCCGTTTACCAGATCAACATCCTCCGGGACCGCAGCCAGAACCCTCCACAGAGCAAAGGTACACACACACACACACACACACACACACACACACACACACACACACACACACACACACTGATTCTTACCGCTGGTTCTGAAGGGAAAACAGCGTTTCCATCCAAACGTGGCGCAGAACCACTTCATGATGCTCAGTGGCTGCTGTTTAAGAGCCAATTCCAGGATGGTTAATGGCTGAACACATCATATACGTGCAAAATTACACAAGCCAGCTCATGTTTTGTGGACCATTTGAAGACAAAGACGCACCCTGACAGACTTGCAGAGTCAATTGTGCGAAAACGGTCGTGATTTGCTGCTATTTTCCCTCCCATTCCCTTTCTCTCTTTTTCCCTTTGATGAATTCGTCAAGTGTGAGAGCAAACAATAGAGACGGCAGCAACAAATGGGCAGACAATGGTGTTGCCATATTAACACGCGTCAGGCAGAGTGGGTGCTGATGACACTTGTGATGAGACACAGGCAGTGGGAGGCGAGACTGACAGGAGGAGAGACGTGACGCCTCCGTCCAACTGCTAACCAGATTAATCAGGAAGACAAGCAGCTTTTACTTCCCGTTTCTGACTCAACTCCTCCTGATGCATCCATCCTTCAGTCCACCTGCTTTTGTTTCTGCTTTATGGAAGGTGGTTCAACTTTCCTAGTGGCTTTTTTTGCTGAATTAGTTAAAAAATCTAAGTATATAAGGGATACAGTTAATGCCAAATATCCAGAGATTAAAAGATTAAATCTGATGTTTTGTAAATTTTTGAAACATTCGATTTTGCTTTTTTATTTATTTAGCTATATAGTTGGTTTTGTACATAATTTCTATGAAATTAAAACTTTTCCAGAAACAACTTAAGTTAGTGGTTAAAATATTGATAATAAAGTAACTTTAGATTTTAGCAGTAAATTATGGGACTTTTTCACCGCCGTCATTTCGAGGTTTTCTTCAGACAAGAAAACAATTCAGGTTAGAAATGTTTTAATACAATCCTTTGTGGAGATTGTTGTCACTTATCAATCATTGGTGATTGGCTCCAAAGATCATTTACTTATTTAATTTTGGCGTTTTTAGCCTGAAACAGTTTCAGGAGTTTTCTCGACTTATATTTGTCGTAATTATCTGTGAGATGCTCACAAGTCGTAGAGACAAACATAAGAATAATACATTTTAAAATAAGGCAAAGATATTCAGCACATGAAATTCCACACATGATTACCTTGGGAGAAGCAAAGCAAAAGTTTCCTTCAGTTTTAAAAGAAAATGGAAAAACAAGTCCTGCTTTGAAAAACTCCCAGGAATCCTAAAGGCGTTGATGTGAGATTTCTCCATTCCTCCTGTGCTTGCAAAGCGCCATGTTCTGCAGGAGGAAGACGGTAAAAACCGACGGGTTCAGATCCGTCAGAGATCTGCCGTCCAGTTCGCTGCTTTTTACCTGCAGCTGCGTTTCTGTTCATGTTCTGCCAACAACGAAAAACTAGAAATGACATTAAAATCACACCAGAATAAGTTTGTTCATGCAACCAGCCATTAAAAACAGAGCAGAGACGGATGTAAACGGTTCCAATTCAGCCAATCAGAGGAGACGCTGGAGAGACAAGCCCCGCCTACTTGGGAGCAGCTACGTTTTGGGAAATTCGATCAACCTTTTCTAAACTGTGATGCTCTGATGGAGCCGGCGGCACATTATCCACAAAAACCATCCAAACCATCATCCTCCCTCCACTTCCTGTCGTCTTCTTCTGCATCTCCAGCAGTAGTAACATCTGGTTGTTGATCATGTGACTCAGAAAGTGTTTGGATGCGGGTCGACTGAAATGCTTCATGGAAACAGTAAAACTGAAATGATGCTTTCAAACTGGATCCAGTTTCCTCTTTCCTGAAGGATTCTTCCTCTCCTCCTCACGACCGATTGATTTGTTTCCTGGCTTCTTCAAGCGCCGGCCCAACTCGTTGTGTTCCCTGTTTGTTCTGGCCTTCAGGTGGCTCCGCCTCCCCGGGTTCAGCTCTTCCTCCCGTCCTTCAGCTTCATCAAATCTCCTCCTTGAAATGAGTTGTTATGGCTGATGAGTCGAGAGCGGCGCTCGTCGTCGGGGGGCAGCCACCTCTCATGCTTCTCATTCTTCTGCTCTCTCTCTCCTCATCTTTTCTGTGCTGAGAGGTGAAGGCGTTAAGAGGAAGTGTTTTGATTGAGCTCTTCTGGCCTTGTTATTCTGCTGCTGCTGCTGTTTCTGCTGGTTAGGTAAACCGTTTGGCCTCATCTGCCGCCGCCTCTCTGCTGAAATTTCAACTGTGGCCTCTCCGGCTCCGCTCTGTTTACTTTAATTTAGCCACAGTGCTGGGCGGAAAGAAACATTTGGGGCAAATGAGCCCTCCTGGTTCGCCTCATGCTGACCCACAGCCTGAAGTAGCGGCTCGGATCGGCGCGAGCTCGTTAGTCTGTCTGCTTCCTCATTAGTCGCCGTTTCTGCCATTCCTGAAAGGACCTGAGCAGCAAACGGATGAAACCACAAACGCAACATGATAAACTCTCTCTGAGGACGCTTGGACCAGAACGTGGGAAAACAAAATAAATCCTCGTTAAATTCTGGGAAATTAGTGTTGTGTGCTGGATTTAAAATGACAGAGCTGCTTTTCTGATTTCGTTCTGCGAGCAGAAGTTAATCGGATATAATCTAACTTAATAAACAAGAGATTTGATGTGAATGGAAGAGTTATTGTTTCTGTAATGCCGGCTCACATCTCTCCAGGCACTGCGAAGGCTTCATCCAGGAAAGTAATCGTGTCAAACCTTAAAAATCACTTAGATGTGTTTCTATGAGCTTGTCGTTTTTATACCTGAAGCTGTGAAAATGTTGTTTTCTCCCATCATGCAGCAGTGAAGGAAACTGTTTTCCAACAAGTTTCTCTGGATTCCTCTTGTTATTCTGAAGATTTCTGTGAAGCTTCTTCTGATTTGAAACTTTTGGAGGATCAAGCTTATAAATTATTCATTGTAAATCTTTGTAACATGAAATCGTTGGTGGTTTTGGTGGCTGGCTGCGCTGCAGGTGTTAGAAAGATGAAACATCAACCGATTTTTCAATGAAGCATTAAAGAAAAACATATTTCATGCTTGTCAAGTTTTAATGTAAGAATTGTTTTTTATTTACAAATAATGAAGTCTAAAACCATAAGAAATTTTTGTCAGAAATGTAATAAATTAGATTAATAGACGTTAAGTCCTCCACTTCATTTTGTTTGAGAGAAAATTTAAAGCTAAATGTAATTAAAAAACACAAGAAAATACATCATGACACATAACATTAGTTTAATTGGCCAAACTGTACTGTATGTACTGTTATGTTTCCGAAGAGCCAAAACTCCATAAAAATGTGTTAAAATTGTTATAAATTTGAAGTTTTCACCAGTTACATCTGTGTGAAATCACTCTAATCCATTTTATAAAGTGTTAAACGTGTTTATCTACAAAAATGTTTTAATTTGACAACAAAATTATATGTTGATGTTGGTACAAACCAAGGTATTCGGCTCATTAAAGTAGGTCAGACAGATCTGTCTATAATACTGGTTTGTGTGATAAAGTGGAAAGACTGAAGCGTTTAAAACGGAGAAAACGACTGAATCCTCCTTTCTATCAGAGCAAATTCACAGCAGCAGCAGCAGCAGTAGCTGCAGCAGCAGCGGCAGCGGCTGCAGCAGCAGCGGCAGCGGCAGCAGCAGCAGCAGCAGCGGCAGCAGCAGCAGCAGCAGCAGCAGCAGCAGCAGCGGCTGCAGCAGCAGCGATTAACGGCTGATGAAGTTTCTCTTTCAGAAGCTTCTCATCATGACTTCAGTTTCCTTCTCAACCTCATTAATGTTGGAGTTCCAGATGTTTTCCTAAACTTCTGGATAAGGAAGTGAAAAGATGTTTTTATTTTCTGCACTGGCTGCTCTGATGCATTATATTAGATACATGTAATTTATTTGCTGTTTATTGAGGAAATCCTTTGTTTTCTGTTGCTTCATTGAAGCCAAACTGCAAAGTATAACTTTAAATCAGATCTTTAGCAACACTGGATGAAGAGGAGTAAATAAATGATTAATTAAAAGATTTAATTCCCACTGAAAGCTTTGGCTAAACTACAGTTTTCCTCATCAAACCACTAAGTGGTTATCAGTGGATCAGTGTAATCCTCCACTCATTATTAATTTTGTCATCTGGTGTCTGAGAGCCTGGAAAACCAAATTCCTGCAGCAAACGCCAGTCGTTTCCCTAAAACCCAGAAATATCCGGATCTCTGCTTCGCTTCCAAAAACACAAACTTTAACTGATCTCTCTAAGCCTGTTTAGGTTAGTTAGAAGCCAAAATTAATAAACTGCGGGAGTTGATTTGGACGTGAGCTTCGTTACTTTGAATAATCCCCCAGATTTTCTGCTTTGGTTCCAGAGTGTTAATTGGGTCCAACATGAAGCTGCTTTTCGTTGTTGTTGGTGAAATCCCAGGTCTGTTGTGTAGATGTGTGTGTTTATGCCGACGAGGAGCGGCTAGGGGATATTGGTGGAGCTTGTGTTGGTTTAATGTGTTTGGAGTTAATAACCAGATGACTGGATGAGCGGTGGAGGAAAGAGGAGTGAGTGAGAAATGGAGCAATTTGCCATTTTGTGCTGAAAGAGAGACAGAGATGCAGGGAGAGATAAAGAGAGAATGAGACAAGGAGAGCCAGAGGGGTAAACAGAAAATGGTCCTCTTGCTAAAACACAACCGTAAGCTCCATGTCGGGTGTGTTGCTGTGTGTGTGTGTGTGTGTGTGTGTGTGTGTGTCGGGGTTTTGGCAGAGGATGTGATATGTCATTTATCTTAATGATGCACCATAGCCCACATGAGCTGCTGAGACACACACAATAAGTTTAATGTCTTCATTAAGTGGCTCTTTTCTGCACCAAATTCTTTGTGCACAGCGTGACCTGGAAATAATTCAGAAATATGGAAGTATGAAAAATTAACTGCAAGCCACATGGAAAGCAAATG